GACATCTCAACAACAACAAAAACGCGCCTGTTAGTGCCATTACGTTACCACTGATAGTAATATAAGGATGTGTTTAAAGATCTCATATCATGCTATTTTTAGGCATATATTATGGGTCTTTTTAATAAATAAAAAACATGTCTATGATGTGTTTTGCTCAAAATACTAAACAGATCATACATTGTAGACATCCCTCATATCCCTCTATTTCAGCCCTGTTACTAAAGTGCTGATTGTGGGTCTAAAGCTTTAAAAAAAGAAAATAGGTCACTCACTCCAAAACCCAAGAAGCAACAACAAGAGCACATCCCTAACAGGCACTTCCTGTCTGCAAATTGTTTCCATTGTAGTTATAAAGTTATGGATGATTATTCTACTGGCATATTAAGTTAATTAAAAGATGCATTCATTTATTTACCTCCCAAACACCTATTCACGAGGGTATGAAGCAATATATCCGTACAAACAGGCATAACCAATGCAGACAGCCAAGCATCTGCCATCCATCTATCTGAACCAGAGCCCCTGTGTTGGGGTTAAAGGATACTTCCACTCCACCAGGCTGATGCAGGCCCTGCGGATCGGGTTGTTGAGGGTGAGGCAGAACAGAGCTCGGGGCGGCCTGCTGTTGGTGGATCCTCCCTGCTTTTTGCTTTTGGCGTACTGCTGCCTCTTCCTCTGCGCCAGTGAGCCCGCAGGAGCAGGTACAGTGGTGCAAACTGAGGGCTGTGGCCTCATGTCGGGCTTCTCATCATCGCCCTGCGCTTGGCGAGCAGCGCTAATGGCGGCATGCCAAGCGATGACCGAGCTGACCCCGGTAGCAGGGTCACCGGGGTCCTGACTGCCGAGGAGGCCAGAACAGGAGCCGACGGGCCTCCCCGTGCTGGGCGGGGCCTGCAGGGGCTCAGGTGGATGGTGCAGATGGGTGTAGTTCTCTGACCAGGGATCAGCGGAGGGAGTGGTCCTTTTGTTGCTGGCATACTGTGCCCCTGGAGCGAGAGGGTGTGACACAGATACAAATTGGTTTAACATGTTAAAACTGTTGGTGTGAGTATAAACAAAAACACATCATGTTACCCATGCTGATGATTTGTCAGTGGATTTCAGGAATCTAGCTAGCTTTTTATAGCATTAGCCAGTTTTTTGCAGAACAATTAAACAATCTTACTGTAAATACAGTCTTGAAGGTGCCCTCAGTCCATTTCCCGAAAGAATCATGTACATACAGTAGCTGTCTGCTTATGCTTTGATTTTGATGCAACCACCAGGGGCACCACATTCTACAGATAGCATCTTTAACGTTTAAAACTCCAAATTATATATTTCAGGTACCACATATTTAATGTGTTTCAATAGTGACATTACAACACATTTATATTTATAAAGGGCTTTTTCTAACAAGTGGCACAAAATGCGTGAAAGCTGAGGTGATTACAATGAATTGTGACCAAAATACGTCCAGAGTGGATCATTTCGAAAAATAAATGAAAAATGCTGGACCACCTGTGTAATAGAGACACTGGCTCTGCATCTCCTAAAATATATTTTTGGAATAACTATAAACATTGTTACGAAATAATATCTGCAATAAGCTCAATTGTGCTGATGATATCCATGATAAACCATCAATCAGCCTGTTGTCTGCACTGATACCGTTCATTGGTAACTAGAAAATATGATGCTCTATACATCACACAACACAGTAATTGTCTCATGACTCATAAGCATATTGTGCTTCTTACAACAAAGGGGAAAGACAAGCAAAGAAACAAACATTGTTGAATCAGTTTTTTTTTCTTTACAAAGTGCTCACTTGCTGCATTTAATTAATGATGTGTATATCAATTCCAAATACAAGTTTTACATTTGTGTAAGGAAAGAATTGCCAGAATTCACTTGAGGCAAAGTGGAAAATATGAAGTGCTTTATTTAGGTGACTGAATACTAATTGTGTCATTTATACGGATTGGTTATTTTCCATGAAATACTGCTTTGCAAAACGTATCATGCTGAAAATGAGTTTGACAAAGAAGATTTAGAAATAAGTTGACCAGACAATATTTGTGTTGGAGAGAGCAGGACAGCCTGAATGAGAGAGACAGGGAGAGTCATTCAAATCAATTCAGACCACGAGTGAAACAAACATTGCCCTTGACACAGTCACTTTGGTTCACTGTAGTTCCACAGCAGCATGATCCCAGCTAAACAAAATGTTGTGTCATCCAACCAAAACAGCTCCTACGCTACAGGAACAAGTCCAAAACACTGACCATTCATCAGAACTGTAAAGGCACCAGGGATCTGAAGACCGACTGAGAGAGAGAAATATGAAGCAACTGAAAGACTGTTGATTATATAAAGCTATTACATCTTTAATAATTGACCTGTTACCTGAATGCAAGTGATTCATTCATTCATTCATTCACAATTCCCATCTAACATGAATGAGGAGGATTTCCCTAACCCTAACTCCCCCACTCCGCATCATACCATCACCGCAGGTGCAAAAACAGCATCCGAAGCCATTCATTTAATGATGATCACAGCCTCTCTGACATTTCTGGGATGTAACAAGAATAATACCAGCAGCTCGGCTTCACATCTGCCACACTTTACTGGATAACAACTGTTGAATCTGCTGTTGTTCTCGACTTTCCCCTGTGTTGGCTTGATTTTAAACAAAAAAACACGTAAACAGTGATGATTAAAAACTGGATTTAGGCTACTTGAAAAGTGGATTTAGTGTTACTCAGTTGATAGTGAAGTGCACAAATCCAGAGCACCCTCCACACGCTGTCACATGGTTCCAAAGTGACCACTTGGCCAAAATATTAGACCAAACACAGTCAACCATTTTTTCTGAGAACTAACAGCGACTCGTTTTCCCAATGGATTTGATGACTGCTGTCATTACAATCACGCAGACTAGAACAAGCGCGTACAATGTCAATAATCAATCTGTGGACTAAAATAAGTTGGGTAAAAATCCTGGACGCAGACACGACTCGGTTCATTATAATCTGAAAATAAACAGACATCCAGAGAATAAAGCAGTGCGCCCACTCTCTCGCTGCGCTCCAACTCTCCTCCTGCGCTCCACGCACGGTTTTTTTTTTACCTTCAGACTGTTCATCGGCTACTTGCATCCTCGAATCCACATTGAAAAAATGCGTTTTAAATCCAACTCATCGTTGGAAGAATAACATCCAAAGATGTCGACGCGCGAGCCTGAAACGAACCGTTATCCTGAATTATAAAATGTTTTCCGAGCGCAAATCCTGAGAGGAGCGCCAAACATTTTCGCCACATCCGGGTGCCCGCCTGCAGATTCACGGCGGATCGGAGGGGACGCGCTGACAGCAGCACATCCACTGTGTCTGTCAATAACTCACTGAGTCTGGGGATGGACAAGTTAGACGTTAGAGCAATCCACTGCAGCACATCCAAACTGGGTTTACACCTGTTGCAGCCCAGTTAAGACAAGGCGCGCATAATACATCTTAACTCAATGTTGAAGTCTGGCAGGATTACCACATTATTTCAGAGGCAATGTTTGAAAGAATTAAAATAATAACGAATATATTGGATTTTATGTCAATGGAGACGAAATCCATCTTTAGGCTATAAAAACGGGCGAGATGACAACAAACAACCAGAACAAGAACATCATTATTTAATTTATAAAGTCTATGTGCACGTTTCTATAACTTTGAGCAGCATTTAAGGTCACAGGCCACGTCTAAAAACATGGTGTCTTTAAATTAAGTAGCAGCCTATGTCCAAAATGTATACGAATCATGTATAAAAACAACGTCTAAAAGCAAGATTTAAGAACATGTGATTAATATTTATAATCTGTAGTTCTGTTAAGAGTCCAAAGATGTGCAGTCACATCGCAGCCCACTAATGATAATGCAAAATAAAGCATTCAGATCAGTGTTATTGTAGCCGAATATAAATTACTTTCCCCAGTCAGGGTAATTTCTGGCTAGCTAGATAAACATCATGCATGCTCGTATCCTGTCCATTACCCGTATTATACCCGGTCCTTTCACTTACCACTCCGGGGTCTTCCCCTTATAATGAACGGCATGTCACCTGGCTCTTCTCAGGGGCCTCATGGCGTCGTTTTCTGCCCTCACTCCGCGGCAATTGGATAGTAAATGAATTGTAGGAGCTGTGCTAGAAGGTTACCACTGAGTGGATTACCTGTGCCTGCATGGGGATAACAGTTTCACGGTAGCACGTAATCCTCCCATTATAATCCCTGCTCCAATGTCCCCACAACAGGGGCAGGTGAGGTGAGGCAGGCGGCTGCAGCTGGACCAGATGACAGAGCCGAGAATTGGATGTTTTTTCATTTTAAGTTTGTGTATTAGTTTAGAAGTTTTCCCTCCAATAATTACAATGAATATAGCCTAGAGCAAATCCGTGAGTTAGTTTTTACAATTGAATTTCCTTCAGTGCGCACTCTTCGCATATTCAGCATTGCAGCGCAGCCATGTGGTGTGTATACAACATGAATACACTGTTAATACTGTTTCTAACCTACTACAGGTGCATGGCCTTTGATTCTTAAAAATATAGCCCTATATTCATTTGCTTCACTTTATCATTGTAATTGTCAAATGTGTGTCACAATTTTAGGCTTATTTTATGTGCAGCAGATGTGTCTTGCGAAGAAACGAATTTACGGCGCTAGTTGCTATTTGTTTAATCTAATTTAATTTAGACTAATCAAATTAAATTAAACACAAACGCGCGCACACAAACTCGCGGACGAACACACAAACACGCACACAGACAGACGCAAACACAAGCAATCAGCGAATTATTTAGCAAAAACATCATTATTGCTGGAATCTAAAAGAATAGAATCAATGTAGGCCTACTTTTAATATAAATATGTTTTTCTTTAGTAATAAGGCTCTCAGAAACTTTTTGAGAGCAGTGATTTCCGGGGGCAGCGGAAGTTGTGAGTGTGTCTTCAGAAACCCGTCCGTGTGGGAGCAACAATCACATCCAAGATGGAGACCGTAAACGCTGGACAAATGATGAGCTTAGCAGCTCTACAGAGACAGGACCCGTACATAAACAAACTGCTGGATGTTACCGGACAGGTGGCTCTCTACAACTTCAACTCCAAAGCCAACGAATGGGTACGTTTGTTAGAAGACCTTCACAAGTGTGCTAAGTATTATTTAGCATGCTAATGCTAGCCCCTTGAGAAAAAAAACATTGGGAAACACTAAGAAATACGCTAGTAGTGGTCAAGATTCGACTTATTGACATATGTTCACAAAATATCTGGATAGTGTTTTAGTATTCTGTGTCTGTTAACATTGAGTTTTCGTTACTAAGTTGGTGTTACATAAGCTAACATAAGTTAGCAAGTGAAGCCACAGCCAGTCTCTGTTATTATTCAGCAAGTTTTTGATTAGCGATTGTTGTTTTCCACACCTAACGTCCCTTTTTATAATTTCAGGAGAAGACCGAAATCGAAGGCACCCTGTTTGTTTATGCAAGGTGAGAATATGAAGTGTTTGGTAATGTTAATAATTTAAGACTCTATTTGAAGGTTGTTTACTTGTTCAGAGTTACGTCGCACTGCCAGTTGACGTATTGTGCGCACGTGTGTAGGCCGCAGCCTGTAAACAAACATTTAAAGATGTTCATTTATATACAACATCTCGTTTCCTTTTCATTTTTTTCTCATTACAACCTGCTGCACAATTTTTGTCTCCCTGAAATGTTTAGTCTTTGTATTTAACTTAATCATAAATGTATACTATGTCATGACGTTCGTTCCTACTTATTCAATTAGTTCAACTAAAATAAACATCATTAAGGCATCATCCTTGGCTCTAGTAACTTATGGTAGCGTTGTTTTAAAATATGTTAATATAACATAACACGTTACTTTTATTATAGATTCAACTAAATGATAAATAAATAAATACAAAAATACCTGTATGTCACTGTTCTTTATCCCTATTCATGCTTTTGTTTCAATAGTTACCAGAAAATGTATATCATTTGTAATAGTTGTGTAATCATTTCTATGTGTTTACTGTTCTTTTCAATATTTATTTTTTTCAGTACTACAAAATAGTTTGCTAGTGTTTGGTCATTAAAAAGTCTTTAAGTGAAAAACAGATTGTGAAGCTTTTACTAAGTAGAGTGAACACACTGTTAATATGGAGGTGGTTGTTGTGTGTTGTACTGCCTGAGAAGATCATCTCAAAGTGTTTGCTATCCCTGTGCGTCTCTAAGGTCTGCCACGCCTCACCATGGCTTCACCATCATGAACCGACTGAGCACAGAGAACCTGGTGGAGCCGATCAACAAAGACCTGGAGTTCCAGCTGCAGGATCCCTTTCTGCTCTATAGGAATGGCAACTGTGAGTATGTTGTAGAAGGGAAGTTATCATACTGTAAACAGTTTGCTGTATACAGTACAGATATATTTCGGTGTCAGGGCCGACTGAAATGAGATGTGATGCCAGATTATTATTCTTCAAATCCAATTTGCAGAGATGTAGGTCAACCTCAGCCCCATTCTAATGCCTGATGCATTTTCAAATCTGCAACATGTGAAATGTTTAAATTGAAGAAGGCCCAAGGGCAGAAAAGCCATTGGAGATTAAGATCGATGAAAAGCCAGTGTGCTACTTTGACGACTTCTTCCCGTGATCAGCACTCTCTTTGTTTAGAGGGCAAAAATACAACCCCTGGTGTGCGTTTTTATTTTCCTAAAAATAGTGTGAACATCTTGTGGATTCCTGTGGGAAAATTGCTTCTGAGATGCAGAATCTGTTTTTGCTCAACTACTATGAACAACTGCCGTATGACAGAAGATTCTGTCAAAGAAATGTCCACTCTTAGCACACTTGACCGGCAGACAGCTGTGTAGCTGACATTCAGTATCATACATGCACAAGTATGGAAAAACATAATGTTACCTCTGAAGATGCTGAAGAAACAACTCCTCAATGTTTTCTGGAACATCTCCTTTCCCTTTTGCTTGAAGTCATAATGGCGTCTTGCAGTCACGTTTATCAAGAAATCTTCTTCTAAAGAGATTTTTCCACTCATGGCCTCACTCAGGCCGACCAGGTGGCAACACTTTTAGCGCTGTTTGGTTAAAGTCAATATCATTCTGCACTAAGGCAAAAACCAAAAAGATTTATCATCAAACTGACTACTTCTTGAACTATATTTAATTATAAGTTGTCTTTTTTTGCTGCAAACAGATTCCTCTGAGAATCGTGCAGGGATGAGGCGAAAATAAAAGGGATGAAATTCCTCAGATCTTGAGAAAGTAGCTGACAGCGCTGCCACCGAGGTAATCTATTAGCAGTCTGACCAGGAGCTTCATCAACGCCACCAATAAGGAGTTAGACTCTTTCCCCATTTGTTTGCTTATGAGAAAAAATAACATGGCCAGGGTCAACGTCAAAGTGGACTGCTCCCCTTTTGGACTTGGTTTGCCCATCAGCCTGCCTGGAATGGAAGACATGATGTCCTGTTAGTAATCAGACCAGAGCAGCTTCTCCGGGAGCTTCACTCGAGTCCAAGTGCTGTCAGCATTTTAGTTCCTTAGAGGTGTTGAGTTGCTGATCGATACAGCTGGTTGCTTGACTATATTCCTTGGCCGCTTCTGGAAATGAATTGGAGTATATTCCCACTGATGGTGTCCTCTTCTGGTTTGGACTTCTTGTGTAGTTCTTTGTTTCTTTCAGTCCATTAGTGCTAATTAGTAATGCAACATACTCACTGAGGATCCTTTTTTCAGTAGGTCAGCATGTGGTATCTGTCTGTGACCGGCTCCTGTAAAGGTCTGTTTGTTGTTGTATAGATCCCTCGAGAAAAAATACTTCAAGATGGTTCTACTCCTCCCTATGAATGGGTAGTGTGAAGAAGTAGCAATAGAGGTTGAGTGCGAGAAAGACAGAAGTTTGACACGAGTCCAGCAAAGAGAGGAGGGATTCTTCAGAGAGATGTTGGTAATTATGGGTTACTTGTGGCGTGTTCCTCTCTGAGTCCTGGTGAACTCGCTGTCTGAGGTGTAACAAGTGTACATGAACTTGGAGAGACCACACCTGTTTACAACTCTCCATCCAGGTTGCCCTCGGCAGCAGGAGATGCCACAGGGAGGCAAACACTCAGGTTGCCAAGTTACCATCTCTCAAGAGACCTTGATATGCCAGTAGATCATCACACACACATGGCACACAAGCAATGTAAAAAGTGTTTATTTTTCAACTTGGTAGAATGAGTTATTGTTTAAATACAAATGAATCCAGCAGCTAGGCGAGCTGCCCAGTTGGTATGCTGCACTGAGATTGATAGTAGTGATAAATGCTGAGGTCCATCCATATACAGTCGGCCTTAGCAATAACTCTGTATTATCATATTAAGGCTTTGTTTAGTTTTTTTATGTCATTTGAAATAAGCATGATTTCCATTGGGTTTTGAACCTTTGACAATTGTTACTGGTACATTTTAGTAGGTATATTGAGGGTATTTTTGTAAACTCATTTTGTCTCCATATTTAAAAGTATATTACTGCTAGTCTAATGTAATGCTGCCTCTGCTCCATACTGTAATATACAATATTAATTTTCTTGCAGTGGGGATCTACAGTATTTGGTTTTATGACAAGAGGGACTGTCAACGCATCGCCCAGTTAATGGTCAAGTGAGTATCCAGACATGTGTATATTGAATCAGAGTTTAGATGAAATAGAGCTCTTAATAGTCTAAGATGATTATTTAATAGAGCAAATAACAGTTGGATGTTTAGACTACATGTTACACTATGCTCCCCCAGGATTGTGAAACAGGAGGCGGAACACGCCCGGAGAGAGTCTCCAGAGAGGGCCGCGTCGGGGAGGAGCAACGGGGTCGCAGAGCCGCGGCCCATCGACATCCTGGAGTTGCTCAGCAAAGCCAAGGAGGAGTACCAGAGAGTGAGGAGGCACACACACGCACACACACACACACACACACACAATCCAGGGATGACGTCTGAATGTGTGGCTGTGTCCATTTAATTCTATTTATTAGCTGGTTCTTTTTTTTAAAAATAAAATACTCTAACTAAATGTGTGTGTGATGCAGGCTCAGGTGGGTGAAACCGATGCGTCTGCAGAGCTCAACCTGAAAACAACTTTCACCGCCACAGAGCAGAGCACACCGAAGGCTGAGAAGGTACAGACATCACACCAACATGTATGCAAAGCTCTGGTGTTTATTAATGTGCGTCTTCCTGTTAGCCCCGACATACGGAGAATCTGGAGGATAACAAAAAGAGAGGGTGCATGTTTTCCTCACGGGTGCCGGACTTTAAAAAAACAATTGAGTTTGGAAAAAAGGGATCTTTTCCAGAGCAGAAACAAAGCTTCATATATATATATATATATATATATATATATATATATATATACATAGGGATTCAACAAGGACGCTTAGCACTTCCTCTTGTTACATTCAAACTGCACTAAACTGGAACATTTAAATATAGATATATAATTTAAGACATATCTGGCTCTTATTTGGATATATCTCCTAGCTAGGAAATCTCCTAAACTGAAGAAATCTTAATTTTTCTGCTGTTATTAGAAAACATATAACTTACCCCTAAGCCATTTGAGTGCCCCTTTTTTCCCTCCCCATATGATTTATATTTAAATTAATCAATAAATTGCTTTATGTGTTGGATGTCAAAGTACTCATTTTGATGTTTTAAAAAGAGAGGGAAGCGGCAGGTTCCCACCTGCTGAGTTTCAGCATTTCTCTGTATGTTTATTTCTCCCCACAGCTCTCAGATGTGTTCTCTTTCCCCCCCAGAGCTCTCATACGATGGTGAAGCAGATCACAGTTGAGGAGCTCTTTGGCTCGTCCCTCCCTAAGGGCCCCTCTCTACCCATAATGCCCACACAGAACTCCAGCATTGCTTCTAGTGACCTCTCCACTGCCTACCTCCAGAACCAGCCTTACCCCACTCCAGCCCTCCAGACCCCGCTCTTCCCTCCCCATCACTCATCCCAGGACCCTGCGTCAGGTCAGCAGCACCAGGTCCCCGGCCTGCTCCCAGCTCCGTACGCACTGCAGCCCGGCTCTGTTTTCCAGTCGGCGGTCCCCAGGTCGGACCCCCAGCCGCGGTGCTCAGTGTCCCCCCTCATGGTGGTTCCAGCCGGCCCAGAGCCTCACGCTGCACCATCAGCACCTCCTACGGCGTATTTGGGACAAGACATGCTCGCCACCCTCAAAGCGGCAGTACCCTCGGTGAATCATGACATCCACAAACACATCCTGGCACCCAACTTCCTGCCAAACAGGCTGTTCACCCCCCACAGCTTCCAGGAGCCCGCGGTGAGACCCTCCCTCCAGCACAGCAAGGAGATGGATGTCTTCTCTCAGCCTCCAAACCTGATCAAACCCATGTCGGTGAGTTCAACGAGATTCTTAACAGCTGTTTTTGTGAATCCGTTTGCTGACCTCAGTGTCTTATCTGTTATTACATACTCCAACAAATGATATAATAATCAAGCATACTGTTCTTATGTCATAACTCCTTTTATGTTTCCATTCTCAGGCTGTCCCCATGAGTCCTGGTTTCGCTGTTCCAGGGCCAGCCTTTTCTTTGCTTCTCTCCCCCAGCGCCTTCCAGCAGTCCTTCAGTCAGACGTCAGCAGCATCAGCGGCCCCCCCTGCCCCCTCCGAGCCCTCCTACCCGTCCTCAGGAGCTTTAGAGCCTCCACAGGCAGCCTGCAGCAAAACACAGCTACAGGACACTCTGATACACCTCATCAAGGTACATAAGGGGAATACGACACGTAAAAAAGTGGTACTGTCGTCATATTGAAGTGGAAAAAACTCTAAGCTGTTTACTATTACCATACCATTATTATTTCAAATTAAAGACTATAGTTGCAAAACATTCTGTGCCCCAGAGCATGAGATCTCTGATAGTTTGGGAACTTTCAGGGCAGACAGTTACTGATTGGTCAAACACAAACAAACCATGCGGCAGCTACATAAATATTCACAACAAAAAAAGTAAAGAGTACAATAAAAATGAAAGTGCACATTTCTTGGTATTTATTAAGCCTGATTACAAAGTAAGTTTAAAAAAATAGTTTAAAATGTTTTACAAATATAAAATAAAATGCAAATTATTTCAGGAACTTTTTGGTCTGAAATTGACGATTTGAGTTTTAGAGCGATCTGTAAATCTGATGTAATATTGTTGAGTTGCAGTAGAATTTTTTTATTTTATTTTAAGCAATGCAATAGCAACCTTTTGCTGAAAAAAGGGTTCCAAAGAAATCAATTGACGACATCATGAGATATAATCCTGAGATACAGGGATTCTGATTCTGAAAAGAGATTGTGCTGTTAATGTTTTATTTTAAAAGCCTTTTAAACAGTTTAGACATATAAACAGTTTATCACTGTCATCTTAAATTGAATTCCTCCCTCATCTCCTTTTTCCCTTATAGAGCGACCCAGACTTCCTCAGTGCGATTCATGATGCGTACCTGCAGAGTGTGTCCAAGGACTTCAGCAACATGAAGCTATAGTCTCCTCAGCCATCACCACTGTCCCTCTCACAGACCTTGAGGAATCCACGATTAAACGGGAGCTAAAGGAAGAGAAGCTAACGGGTTGTCCACACACTGCACATCGCACAGCGGCCATTAAGCCCTCTGCTCCTGACTCTGAACTCTGATGCTTTCCCCCGTTGGCTTGGATCAGTTTACTGCCTGTTTATTAAAACTGAACTAATGTGGAAGATAACGTTGAGATATAACGTCCCAGTGTGGCCTTGACTTTTCATTTCAACTTTGTAAATGTGATCCAACAGTCGACCACTGACTGGTGAAGTGAAGCTGCGGACGGGACCACAGTGGAGCGAACCATTTTTAATTTGACCTTGGGAAGGATGATTTGGCAGCTTGAACATTATGGGGATCACAGACAAACTGTCCCACTGTGGCGTTTAAAAGGACGACTCTTTGTCCCTTATTGAACTTTCTCCTTCAGAGTAATGCGGACATCTCCTTTACTGTGGCAATGTGTCTTTGTCAGTGTTTCATAAAAAGAAGGAGATTGTAGAGGAATATTATTTTTCAACCATGGTCCGAGGAAGATAAAAAAAAAAAAATGTTTTTGTCTGGAGAAGCACTTTCTGCTCAATCTCATATTCAGTTCCTCTGAAAGACAAAGAGACTAACGCACAAACCAGCTTCTTTGCTGCCTTTCCTTTCTCCACATGTCCCCATTCCTTGCTCTTTCTCCTTGTCTCTCCTCCACCCTCTGAGCTCAGTGCGTCATGTCTCGGAGGGGAGCGTGCAATAAACGATGCCTTTAGGGAAACCAGCATTTGGGGATACTTTAGCAAGGTACGGTAGAGCTCAATGTATCTGAACCTCTGGGTTCTGGTTGCGCAACAACTTAAATATGAGGAAACATTTGCAATTGGTTTATGAATATTGTTTGCATTCACACCTTAATATTGAATTGCCTAAAAAAAATAGAAGGCTGATATGCTTCTGATAGCTTCAGTATGATTCAACCAGTTTCTACTAATAATCCAAGAATTATATAATCATTCCTGTTTCGAGATTTATTTTTCGAGAGCGCAGTTACTTCACAAAGACTTGAAGACAAAAATATTAGTGGTAACATGTAATTTTTTTTGCAGTATAATGCTACTGCAGCACAGAAACTTAGGCCCTACAGATGCAGAGGGAACAGGAAGTTGAGTGGTTTTTGAACAAAGAAAGCTTAAACTATACATCAGAAAAATCAGCTCAAAGATTAAGAGGAAAATGTTTTGTGTGACTTGTGGGCATTTTTTAACAGATCACTAACAGGTTTCCTTTTCCATGTTGTTTAATATTCAGCATGAACAAGACCATTAAACAGTCGGTAAAAGCACGAATATTTAAGTTATCAGCTACCTTTTTAAATGTTTGATGTCAGTAGTCATGTTACTGTTCAGAGGTCTATATTAAAGTAGCAATCAATATAAAAATTCACTCCAGAAACTTTAGTAGTAGAAATGTTTCTTTTTTTGTGTGCTGCAAAACATTTTTTGCTAAGGCTCTTTTTCATGTGAGCAACATTTGAAAAAGACCTATAAGGGAGTCAGATTAAATTCTGCTGAATACCCGTTTTGATGACTCCACAACATTGCATTTGGACTGCTATTTGAATGTATTTTTGATTAATCACAGTATGTTTGTGCCTGTCTTGTTTTCCTCTGTTCTGAATATTTAGGTTGACCGCTACATGATTTCAGTGCCAGCTGTTAACCACGTGTTCTTTTTTTTGCAAATCAAGACTCAAAGTACGAGGGCGCTAAATCAAATAATGTGAATACTTATTTGCCCTGTTACCATTTTCATTTCAGAAGAAATCTTGCCAACACGTCTGGCATTTGTTGGGTAAATAAACGTGCACAGGACGAATGATTGAAATGTAGATTTTTTTTTAATCCCGGTCAGATATTTAAGATTTTAAGTTTATTTTACGCTTTGCTATAGTTTCTTATTGGCCAGATATATGACTTTGGGAAAGTCTTTGCAAATTATATACATTTTTCCAAGAGTGTTGCAACTGTATATCATTTTGACTATTTTGTGATAATAAAGAACTGAAAATATAGATGCCTGTTTTTTTTGTTTGCCACAGTTGCAAAAAGAAGAAGCTTAAAAACTAAAAATGTATTGTGATCCTTAATTTTTGTATTGAGTTTTAAACAAATTAATGAATGTTGTGACTAAACATTTACGTCTTCCAAAGGTTATTTCTATTTTACTCGTTTGTTCCAGTGAGTTTTGTAATACAGCAAGAATTAAACAGGAAATCTGACTCAGTATTTCCTCCCTTTGGGACAGAGGGTTTCTTCTACTTCGTGTTTTTCAGTACAGGACAATGATGCAGTTTGTTGCTCTGACCACCAGATGTCACTAGGTGCACACTGTTCTACAGTTTTCACACTGGACATTAAATTGTTATCAGTTGGTATCGGGCCCATGCAGTGTTTATTTCACCAGATAACATAATCTGCTATCTGTTCTGGTTCTAAGCGACAAAACGAATGTCTATCTTTCTCATAGGGGCCATATCGACTGACTTGAAAGCAGACTCTTTTATTAGCTTTTGAGTCACACTGCAGCCCCCCCCTACTGGACAAATGGGGAAGTTGGTATCCTAGCCTATATGAAAAATATCACAGTCCTCTAAAATGAACCTTTAATAACTAAATTCTAGACCACTCTATTTGGTCATTACAATCCATCTATCTGTGTGACTACTCACCTGAATGTCATGTGAGTGCCTGTTCAGGTGGAGCTCTACTGCAGCTAATCAGCTCACTGGCAAATGTCATTAAGGTAAGATTAATGTTATTAAGGTAAGATTTGCGATCCTTCCTGTTGCATGTCACCCTTCCTTCCTCTATCACGTAAATGCTGTAGCGTCACAGGGCAGGTACACTTAATTGTTTAAAGGGATTGTATCACACTTAGTTGTATCTGATATGTGTCTATGTTTGCCCTTCCAACTTTTAATAATGTCAATAACACCGCATTTCAGCTGATTTCCGGAACCTATTTGGAAAATCCTCATATTTATTTGAAAAACATTATTTATTGTTCAATGGTGATGGAAGTTTGTGACAGATAGTGACTGAATGTAAAGATAAACTAAAATACAGATAAATTACATTACATGTTGAACTATATCATTTCATTATACCAGCTCTTTGAGAACAGTTAATCTTGAAATGTGTAACTCATTGCAACCTTAGTGCTTTCCTTGATATGTTTTCCGTTTATTTTCACTCTTCTGCCTATGTCTTCACTGTGTCATCATCAGATATGGAGCTGTAGATGTTGAACCTGAGCGTCCCTGACTGTGTGAGCGTGCGCCTGCTCGTGAGAGTGTGCGTGTGGCCTTGGTCTCACCCATAGGGTCTCAGCCCAAAGCCCTCCCACTGTTCAATGTGCTCATGCGTGCCAGTTTGAGTAACCGTGTGCTGCTTTTAGCCCCAGATTAGCCATATTCATAGGCTTTGCTTGCGGCACGCCCCCTCCTGCTCCCTGTCTGTCAGGTTCAACACCACTGCCTCTTTTTAACCCCTGCCACTGTCCGCTGCACACCCATCGCCTCTGTTCTCGTGACAACAGACCGGGGACTTTTAACTCTTTAACTTAATTTGTGTGTACGTGTGTGCTTTCTACGTTGCATCGGCCAGATGGAGGACTACCATAAACCAGACCAGCAGACGGTGCAGGCGCTCCGGAACATCGCGATCCGGCTCCGGATCAACTCCATCAAAGCGACAACTGCAGCTGGCAGCGGGTAAGAGGGGGAATACGGAGGAATTAAATACAACTGAAAATATATGGTATTGCAAAACAAAACAAAACAAGGTTATTGCCCCGGGACAGTTAATATATGATTAATGCACTTGAATTATTATAAACGCAGGCTCGAATGTACTCAACAAAGCCAGTTTTCGTTTTGTCCTGATGGACCGACTCACTGTCCCCATCAGACTGCGTGCAGGGGGATCAGCAGAATAAAGCTGTGCGTGAGAATATTTGCGTTCAGTGTGACGTAGAAAAATGGACTAAATGTTCTAATGTTATTGTAAGTAAAACAGTTGTGTGCCAAAATGCATTGTGCGTAATTTACGCACTTGTCAAGAAAGTAGGCTTGCAAGGTGTTAAGGATCAGAGTTAATCTAATTTGCACCATTTACGATCGTGTTACATTTCTGAGGGATACTCATGAAATTAAAATTAAACTGACTTTTTTATTTTTGTATAAATACCTTCAATACCGTGCAATATTTAAAACATAGGGTCGGATTTGGAGGTTCGGCATATGCAGGTGCACAGTGTTCCGCTCACTCTTAACCCTTTGCGTACGCTGGTCGTTTAGAGGAGGGGCAGGGGCTCGAGCGGTACATGCTCTCGTGCAGGCAGCGGAATGGGTCCGGGGAGCGCGCGCTGCTGCCTCCCCGCGCCGATGCGGGTCGTCCCACCAACGTCAATTAGCTATATTTGCATAGGTCCGATGAGACATTTCAAAATAAAATTGCAAGTGAAAGAAAATAACAGATTAAAGAATAAAATGTAAGACAGTGGAAATGTTCCTGTGTGTGCTTTTTATTTTTATTCCAATGCTGAATATCCCACGTGTCGAATGCTACACGGTATAAATATGGTGTATGTATTAGTTGCATTGGAGATGTTTGACCTGCAGTAACTGTGTTTATTGCCCTCGTTTTGCTTCTCTTATTCGTGTTTTCTATAGTTATTGATGATTTTTGACTAAGCACTACTTTTCTTTAAATCAATTCAGAGACTCTCAATGATGATTGACTCTCAAAGTCAATCATAAGATGTTCAATAATGCAATTCCAGTTTGATCACTGAAACATGCTTATGTAGCTTACATTTTTGGCTTACATTCATGTTTCATTTATTCCATTCTTTTATCACAGCCACGTTGCATCGCTCACCTCATATCCTGTCATCAAACATGAAATCTATTTATCATGTCCTTTAGGATTTTTGCTTTTATTCATTTTTTTTATTATTTGTTCACCTTTTCCCTTTTCAGCAAAGTAAGGAAAATGGCCTTCATGGTAGAGGCCTGAGTGAGGTATTAAAGGCATGTGGTTTGAAAATAAACAGAATAACAACATTTGACAAATAATCACATGTTAAAAGGTCTTGGCATTACTGTGTGGTAGGCTACAGTTTGAATTATGTCTGTATATGTATGTATGCATGTATAAGAGAGGGGGGCTTCCTCCAAATGTATGTACACTTCTTGTGTGTTAGACAGCGAGAACACTGTATATTTACATACTGCCTGTCTGACCCTGATAAAGTCAGTCTCACTAGCATACTGTCTGTCTTACATAACTCTGACTAAAGTGGGACTGGCATGAATTAACCCTCTAGATCCACGTTGACAAAGTGTCCAGCTTGACTTCTAGTTTTAATCCCTTTTTCTGCATATGTGTGTGCAAAGTTTTCCCTCAAAATGCTTTTGGATTACAACAGTGGAAGCAGGGGGCACATCAAGTTTTTCATTTGATTTGCAGTGTATCTAATTCCTTTCTTGCCATATTCCTTTTTTTGTTGCAGTCATCCCACATCATGTTGCAGCGTATCAGAGATCATGTCTGTGCTGTTCTTTCATACCATGAAATACCGACCTGAAGACCCCCGAAACCCCAACAGCGACCGCTTCATCCTCTCCAAGGTACACACACACACGCACACGCACACGCACACGCACACGCACACACACAGACGCACAGCAAGTGTTCCTCCTATGAATGCCCAGCGACACCATGACCTACTTATAATTTAATGCACATCTTGTGAAAATGCGCATGTGTTGTGCAAGTCCTCATGCATTTTTTAATAGTGTTTGATATTTATAAGGTGCCAGTGCTTTAAAAAACATACTTATAATGCATTACATTTGCAAATAATTTATCATCATTGTTATAATAAGCTATCATTAATATTAACAATGCTTTATAACATAACACATTTTTTAAATCATTATATCATTATAATAAATGTTTTAATGCATTATACCTCAGTAATTATATAACTTTACTTAAAGCACTCAATGCAGAGAAACTTATTATCACAATATTATGCATAATAACCTGTTTTCAGGCATGCAGAAAATGTACATGAGGAGAGAAAATGACATAAAAACTGCATCTTATATTGTTGAGCGATTTATAAAGCTCCAGCACCCAGAAACAAGTTTCCAGTGTGTGATGTTATCTCTCTAACTATGACCTTTGACCTCTGCCTCCTCAGGGTCATGCAGCCCCCGTGCTGTACGCCGTGTGGGCGGAGACGGGCTACCTGAAGGAGAACGAGCTCCTCAACCTCCGCAAGGTGGACTCCATCCTGGAGGGACACCCAGTGCCGGTGAGGCCTGCAGGAAACATTGAGAAAACATAAAAACCCAGACCCCTGCCATATGCAGTATTTAACTGGTCTTTGGAAAGTCATTAGATGTCCATGTGGAAACTAATTTAAAACAGGGCTATACCAGTAAATGAACATTAAGGCTTCATTCACAGCTCACTCTTCAACCATTATCACATTTGAATCTTTCTGACTTCAAAACAGTTCCCTTATCGGTTTCTTGATATCTTTTACAAACTCAAAGATCATATTGCAAACGTTTTTGTTTGACTTTGCTCCCAGCCTGGCGAGCATGAAGCCGTCTGTCAAACTCGAGCTTTGGGCAAACCCTTTGACCGCATGTAAGAATCTTAAAATATGTATATGACATTACCAAGGAAATGTGTGTCACTGGTGGTAGCCATACTGAGTTGTTCAAATATGCAGCATTTCAAAATCTTCCTTTCAGCAACTTAGGATAGTGTAATTTTCCTGCTAGAAATGGTTTGAATATTTCCGTGACATACAGAGGAAATGAGCTTTCACACTGTGGTTCAGAACAGGGTGCAAGATAAATAGGACAGGCAATAAGAATAAAACATATATTTTTCTGCCATCCATAAATGAGGTTTCATGCACATTCTGTTCATACAGAGACATGAACACACTCACACAGATAACAGACAAAGATGATGTCGTGTGACAGAG